AAAAAAAAAAAAAGACCACACACTGTACATCGAAAGTCTCTTTATTAAGCCTTCCCCAGACACAGCTAGCCCTCTTAATAGCCCCCATTTCAGCCAACATCTTTCCACCAAAGGAGGCCAGGGCAACACTTAAGGTAAGTGCCACCGTTTCTTAAAAATCTGCCGGACAAGTGATGCAAGGCGCTCCCTTCGCTGATGATGGGAGCGACCACATCTTCAACCACAGCATCTGAAAAAATGCATTAACAATAGGCCACCTCTCTTTGAGAGGAATGGGAAAGGGTACCAGAAAGCATTAAAAAGAATAGCCAGGGCAGAATCCAGCATTAGTAGTTACACTCTGTTAATGTGCTCCCTTGAGAAGGGTTTCTAAGTAGTCTTTTTCCCTCTTATTCTATTTGGCTGCTCTGTTTCTGTGCCATGCTTTCTAGAAAGCAGTAATCTCTTTCTTCGCAGAAGTGTCAAATGGTTTACGTGTCTCAGAACTGTAACTTTTAGAAAAGCTTCATCTCACTAAATACAACACCAATTCTGCCAATACCTGTAGCCAGTTTAGAAGCCTTTTTCACATGAACCTTTCCAATAGAATATGAGGTGTTATTAATACAAAGGAGATGCAATCCAACACAATGGACAAAATAATTATCACTTCTTTTCCAAGAAGGTTCTGGCTAACCTGTGTTTTGATGTAATGCGTATGTAGCACTTTCCTAGCATGAACATTCTAAAGCAGTGGTTTTCAAACTGCAGGTTGCAACCCAGTACTGGGTCATGGAATGTAAGGCACTGGGTCACGGCGGCTCTGGTCAGCACCGCGGACCGGGCCATTAATAGTCCCGTCGGCGGTGCTGCCCAGTTAAGGCAGGCTAGTCCCTACCTGTTCTGACACTGCGCTGTGCCCTGGAAATGGCCAGCAGGTCTGGCTCCTAGGCGGGGGGGGGGGGGTGTACGGGGATCCTGAGTTGGAGGGGGCTTGTGCGCCTCTGCCTAGGAGCCGGACCTGCTGCTGGCCGCTTCCGGGGCACAGCGCAGTCCGCGGTGCCAGGACAGGCAGGAAGCCTGCCTTAGAACCCCTGCTGCGCCGCTGACCAGGAGCCACACCAACCCTACACCCCAATCCCCTGTCCCAGCCATTAGCACCCCCCAAACCTAGAGCCCCTTCCTGCACCCAAAACCCATCTCTGGCCCCACCCCAGAGCCTGCACCCCCAGCCCAGAGTCCTGACCCCCTCCTGCATCCCAACCTCCTGCCCCAGCCCTGAGGCCCCCCAAACCCAGAGCCCCCTCCTGCATCCCTAACCCATCATCCCTGGCCCCACTCCAGAGCCTGGACCCCCAGCCCAGAGCACTGATCCCCTCCCGCACCTCAACCCCCTGCACCAGCCCACAGCCCCCTCCCTCACTCTGAACTCCTCATTCCTGGCTCCACCCCACAGCCCTCACCCCTGCACCCCAACCCTCTCATTCCCCAGCTCTGTTGGGTCACAGACATCAACAATTTTCTTCAACTGGGTCGCCAGAAAAGAAGGTTGAAAACCACTGTTCTAAAGAATGCAAACCCTCATGCAATACTGATATCTGTGTTCAACATTCTTATTTCCAGGCGCTGAATTCTAGTGAATACACTTTCTTAATATTAGACAAGTTTGTTTACTTTGAGCCTGAGCCTGCTCATTTTGCAGTCAGTAAGTTTTTCACGGATTTCAAAAGAAGCTGGATCAGACCCTTTGAGATATTTTCAGTTTTGCTTACATGGGGGGGGAGGGGTCTTTGTTTTTTTAGAATGTGAGAATAATTTTTTAAACATTGAAAATTTAAGTCAACACAGCAGAAGATGTTTCTTACCGAGGGTTTTTATCTTTTTCTTTTCAATTACAAATAAAAAAAATAAGTAATGTATAACTGAAAAAGAAATAAAATATAGTAAAAATGCACAACCCCAACGCCTGAACCTGCAGCTCACACACACATAGTATGTATTCATGTGAGTGAGTACTCCCACGTAACAGGACTACACAAGTAAGTGCTGCAGGATCAAACACCCAATTCTCATACATAATTGTGCATAACTAGTATCTACAAATGCACTTGTCTAAAGAATCTGCTCCAGATTAAGACCTTGATCCTGCATTATTCAGATAAAACGCCCATTAAATAAATACTGCCTATCAGTCTCCAATAATGTTCGGTTTTACAACACTGCTTCACATATATAAATATTGGGCCAGATTTTCAACTTGTGTAAACTGTCATCGCCCAGTTAATGCAGCTATGACAATTTGCAGCTGGAGATCTGGCCCAGAGCATTTGAAATATTGAATTCACATGAAATTATAGCACTTGCCATCAATGTTCTAAAGTAGAAGTAAGTTTAAAATTAGTTTTTTTAAATAGCACATATACCTTAGCTTCCTCATTCCCCTTTTTATTCAGTAAAACATTAATAAATACTTAGTATTTATATTTTCGTTTTCACAGAGCTTTGAATTACCCCCATAGAGGTACTGAGGTAGGTAATTAACTATTATATCCATTCTACAGATGGAGAAATGGAGGAAGATAAATTAACTGAATTGCCTTAAGCTACAAAGGAAGTCCATCTCAGAACTGGGAACTGAACTCATGAATTCCAAGCTCCTAGTCCTGTGCTCTGACCACATGATCATTAAATACACAGATAAAACACTTCTTGCACTCCTTTTTATACTCATTTATTTTACTAAAATTTGGAATCCAATATTGAATTTTTATAAAAGTATATTTTACTACTTTCTTGAAAAGCTGAATATTGCGAATAAATGGATAAGTAAAATAAAAATGATAGACTGTGTAGCCAAAGATGTCATAAACTGCAACTGCTATTTTTAGCATTATATTTTAACTGATCTTGCCATACCACAAAGCATTGCTGGTATTATTGCATCTTTTAAAAGAACCAAAGTAGCCACAAGTTTTTAAAAGGTTAAAATTAGAGGCATAGAGAGAGTTTATGAGTTATATGTAAAAATGAAAGTGCAATTTAAAATTAAGTCTTCGTGTTTTCACCAAAGTAATTAAAACATGCAAAATCACGAACTTCTTAACATGCAGTTAACTTTCCTAGCTCTTGAACGACCACCTGTTCTAGGATTACAAAAGTGAAATATAAAATCAACAAAAAACAGAGAAAAACTCTCCAATCAGCTTGCTCAAGAAGTCTCTTAATACCTACTTTTACCCCCTGTGAATCCACTTTAATTCCCATTATTAAAACTGAAAGTGGCTTTTGCTCCAATTTCAATGAATATGTTAATCTTCCTCAAATTTCAAAGCAACAGGATATATATCAATTTAAGATGAAATAGTGCTAAAAATATTAAATCCCAAAATCAAAGCATATGCATTTCACAGTCATGGTTTATTTATACTGGCAAATGATTTAAAAAACTTTTCTGGGTGTTCTTTTACTATTTAGGCAATAATGTCAAAAATTATTCCATTATACTCACATAACATGTGTTACATACCTAATGTTATGTAAACACTGCACTTGAAGGTTGTTGAAACTTTCTTTTATACTTTGTATGGTTAACTGAGACAAACATAGCACTTTTTTTCTTTCAGAGAAAGGTGTTCATGGGGTCTTCCTCTTTCTTAAAGAAAAACAGTGCAACACGTGCTTCAAACTCGAATTATCATGCTTAAAATGCAAATAAATAATAATAATAATAAAAATTACAAATAAATGCCTGTAACGTTTTGCGTACTTCGCTGCTTTAGCTTTTAGCCAGATGTTTAGAAAGGTCCTTCCCTAGCATGCTTGGGGAAAAAACAACACACATAAAACAATAATAATAAGCAGAATTTTAATATTTTCAGTACTTGAATAGTTACTGCACTGTTAATTCCTATAGTACCACCATTGTGGCTCAGTCATGCTGTGGATTAAACGTGTTACTGTCCCTTTAAGAGAGAGAGGAGATACACACACACACACACACACACACTCGCTCACTCTCACACCGTGTCAAGTGCTGTACACTTTTTACTGCCAGACTTGGGTTTGTTGCTAAGTACCAGTGAAACACCAGGAGCTCAAAAAATAGGATCCTGCTGTAGTTCAGTGTGGTTTTTTTTATATATAGTAGTTTCTAAGACAGGAAAAAACTTTACAACCATATTTCGAAGTGCATTTCTAAGCCTCTGAAAACGGTCACCAGTTTAGATCAAGGCATTTGTAAAGAGATTCTGAAAAGGGACGAGGGCGATGGCAAGGGCAGAGTTTGCCAAACCGGGTGTCAGTGTGAGTGAATGAAATGGACAGGATGGCAGCATTTTGTAAATTACAGGACTGTCTCCTAGCAACAGACAACACATTCAGCTCCACGTGACTTCCAATGGCCCAGAGAAAAGGAGAGACAGACAGAGGGGGAAGGAGCAACATTCACTTATTAGTATTTTTAATCATCCAGTCCCTTCAGTCTGGAAAAGCATCTCACTTTAAGAGGGGAGAGGGGATGCAGGGGTTGCAACTAGACAGAGCATGGAGCTAAAATCTGCTTCCCACCTTTTGTATCCAGTTCCACGTGGATGATGTTGCCCATGACTGATGTGTTGTGCAGGTGCTGGACGGCTTCCCTGGCACCCTTCACTGTGGCAAAGATCACTTTGGCAATGCCCAGGTGCTTCTTATTCTTGGGATTGTAGAGAATCTCTACTTCTTCCACTTCACCATATTTCTTGCACATGTCGGTCAGAAAGTTTTCACGGATGTTGTCATTCAACTTGGCAAAGGTTACCTGCTTGGGGGGCACTGGCCCCACGTAAAACTCATCAATCTGGAGATTTATACAAACATAAAATTAAATACAAATAATTAAGAACCAGGAGGGAGACTGGCAGCAGAAAATTAAATCATTTGGAACAGACAGACAGAGTTAGTCTCCTTAGAACTCTGGGGAAAGAAACTGTCTACAAACAATGTCACACCAGTCTGAAGAGAAATCCAGCCTCTACACTCTCAGAAATTTATATGGAAATGGTTACTTTTTCATCTTAAAAACATATTTTCAGCAGCTATATCAAGCATCAGAGTTCTAACTCAAAACAGGTAAACTGATCCTATCAGACAGATGTATTGATTTCTTTAAGGAATAGGATTATTGTTAAACGGTTTGCCAGATAATGTTAATAAGAATCTGTCATTTAAATGGCCCATTACATTATTTCAAACTCAAGCTCAGTTGACAGATAACAAGAATCCAAACTAAACCTAAAGGCTAGGGCAGGTACCTTGAATTTGGGAACAGAAAGCTCCAACTCCTTGGTTTTGGTCCATATTCTTCCTATCCTGGGATCTCTGACACAATCCACTGGGGCAATTCCCGAGTTCTACAAGGGGAGGGGGGATAGAACACACAAAAAACATCAATAATATTGCTAGAAATTTCGGGGGGGGGGACATACCACAAGGAAGTGGGGAAGCCTCAGGGGGAAGAGAAAAGCACACATACACACGTGTCAAATTGCAATACTGCTGGGAAATAGACACAGATTGGAACCACAGAGAAATAAAGCTCCAGGTTTTAGCTCCTTCTTGGGATCCTGACAGTTGAATACATTGTGTCAGGTGGCAGTAACTTTCGTGCCTTTTCCTCCCCTCACCCTCCAACATTTGTTACAACATGAATTATTACAGCATTAAAAAATCCCTTTCCTCCATCACACCTCCCCTAAACAAGGACTGCTAGAGAGGGGGGCGAGGTAGGGGTCTGTGGGGGGTATATAATTTATTTAAAAAACAAAACACTTACAGGCATGCTAAAATTTTGCCCATCATAACGATAGAGTTTATGCTGTCCTTTTTTCAGAGCTGGGTCAATAATCAATTTGTAACTTCTCCAGTGGTGATTTCTTTTCTCGACAGAAGTGCTGGCTTGTGTGCTATTCTCCATTCCGTTGATCCAACCTGGGGGGGAAAAAACACAAAGTTTTTTAAAAATGTAATAAAGATCCCATTTTAAGACTCACCCATTAAACACATCAAAGCTGCGGGGGGGAAATACACAACCGGGAAGACTCTAAAATGGGGGAATTCTTAGACAACCCCTCCACCCCCGTGAGACAAGAGACAGAAAGGGGGAAAAAAAGACCCAATCTCACTTGAACTCTGTTTTTTGCCATGATCTTCTGGGTGCTTGGCTTTTTCCCCTGCCTTGATCTCCTTGAAAGACATTGTGTGAGGTGGCCGATCGTCTCCTTGCAGCGAAAGGCGAGCTCCTTTTCACATTTGGCTGGTTACATTACATTGCTTTTGAAAGGCTCCTGCCTCCTTTTTTTGCGAGCCAACACATATTGTGTGTGTGCTTTCTGCTTGCTTCTCAGGCATCCCACAATACACCACTATGGAGCTCGGCTAATGGCTAACCGCCCTCAACCGAAGGCACATTCACAGCAGCTGCAGCGCGCCGCGAAGCCCCCAGCCTCGCCGAGCCCTGGCACCTCCCCACCCGAAATAAAGGGCCATGCATTTTCCCGAGCCCAGCTAGCCTCGGCAGGGGATTTTCCCCCGCTTTAATTGCATGCAGGAAATTCCTTGGAATCTGCGGGCTGCGTTTACCTTAGCGCAAACTGTTTCTAAACAAGATGGACAGAGGTGGGACAAGTTTGGGGGCACTCAGTGAGCCTTGCAGGGACAGCCAGGGAGCAGCCCGGGGCACGGGGTGAATAGCTGTGTTTCTGCCCCCCTGCTACAGTGTTTCCCCGCAGCCCCACCGAGCCCCGCTGGCTGGCGAGCCGCGTTGTTACAATGTGTCCATTGCACAGGACGGGAACAAGGGGGAGAAAGTAGCAGTTTTGCTTATTAAAGGTCCTGGGGTTGCAACAGCCAATCAGCGTGGAGCTTCCATTTTGTTTTAGCGGTGAAAGGCAGCTGGGGATCTCTCTTTTTGCCTCTTTTCCTGGGCGAGGAGCGTCTCGCCTGGCTTTGGGCTTCATGTTGTTTTAGCTCATCTTGTGCTTTTGGTTTGTAATTTGGCCGTGGTTAGGTAATTGGCTGGTTAAAGGCACCAGGAGCCCGCAGCCAATCAGCGCGCAGCTTCCATTTGGCTTGAGTTATTAGACGCTGATCTAAAAACATCCTTCACCAGACAGCTAAGGAGAGGCCAACAGATCAGGCAGCCATTTTTCTGCAATGGAATTAAATGGCCAACTGGGTTTTCCTTTGTTCCAAAAGGGGATACTTTATTTGAATCCACACCATCCATTTCAGGACTTCTCAGTGTTGTATTAATGTCTGACAACATTTTAAAGGACTCAATGAAGAAGGAAGATAAAAAAGATTTGGATTTTTCCTTATGATTTGGAATCCATCTTTGTCTTGTGTAACTAGGTCATGGCACACCCTTATGTCAGCAGTAACAATTTTGAATTCAAAAATAAGTAAATACATATTTTTGTTTGGGTTTTTTAAGCTTTAGAACTATATTATGACTGAACAATAAATTTAAAAAAGTTCCTGTATTAAACACTTAATTCCTGGCCATTTTTATTAACTCCTTTGGTGCTTATAAGGTAACGTTTTAAATATAGACTTAGGAATAGTGAATTCTGGCATAAAAATTTAATATGATAAACTTTTTTTCTTTTACATTGTAAGTACCCAATCCATTCTGTCCTTACTAAGTGTAGTTTTCATGTTAATGTTACTGGAGTTGTCCTTATTTCTGAGCCTTCATTTGCATGTCTTATGTTTTTTTGTCTGTTTAGCTAAAACAATTTGATGCTTTTAAAATATTTTATTTATAAAGCAAAATATCTAGCGAGAGATGTTTTTAAAATGTTTACATACAGTAAATGTTAACCAGGTGTTTTCACACTAACCTGTACTGACTAAAATATTCGGGGGAAACATTTTTGAGTTTCTGTGTAGTCTGGAAAGCCACTGGTTGTCCTTTTAATGTACAGCGTAAATCTGTCACAGGAACCTAGATTTAAACCTCGAGTACAAGTTCTAACGATACTGTCAGTCACCATAACTGGACAACATTTTCTATAGCTTTTTGATGCTACACCATTGCCATATAAAGATCTCTAAATGTCTTAACAAGATACGTTTTGACTTGCAAATTTACCAGAGAAGTGGGGATACAGATTATATAGCTATATATTTATAAATATGTTTTTAAAAAAGCTAAACAACACAACTTCACCTTCAGAACTGCATTCATCAGTGGTGAGCGGGTAAGTAAACCCTTTTGCCCTTGCAGAGAATCAGATAGCCCAGGCCTGTTCCACAAATGTTATTGTCCTGGACAGAGACAGCCTAATGATCGTCTGTAAAACGGTAGCTATCTTGTTCTTGTGTCATCGATACATATACAGACTATATTAATATATATTTTTCAGAGGGTGATTTCTTTTTCTCCACAAAGCGCTTGTTAGCAGCTCTGCTTTTTGTGGAAGGAGACTGCGGATCCATGCTGGCATTACATGGCTGTTAAATTCTCTCCCCCCCCGAGCTACCTCCAAACAGTAAGCTTAGGAAGGAGGATTTTAGAAGACGAATAGACGAAAGGGAACCCCCTTACGTGTTTATCCGTCTAATTACTGAAGACTCTGGCTCGCGAAAAACAAAAAGGGACTGTTTTCAGAACGGTGACAACGAGCCTGTAATGGTCTCGCTAAAATGCGCTGCAAAATCCTTCCCCACGAGAGGCAGCTACTTTAGAAACGGTCTGAAAATAGATCCAAAATGAGGGAGGCTGCCTCCAAAGGAGGGACACTTTGCAGCCTGGATTGTTACAGTCGGGAAGAAGTGACGCAGTTGATGTTCACAGCAGTTCTGTGCTTTCATGCAGCTACTGAGCCCATGCAACTAACTCCCAGCTGATTTTTATTTTAAAATCTGCTAATGCACCAAGCGTGTAATGCCTTTGCAGCCCAGTGCCACGAGAAAAACCGGGAGGCTGTCTGGCATTTCAGCATGCAGCTCCAGGTTGTACTCCATATTGTTTGTGAGAGGGGGTGGGGTAGTGGTTCGTAATGGCTTCTTCTTTGTAATGCTGTATTCTTGTCAGGTTTGGGGGCAGCAGCACGTCTGTGTCTCCCAGTGTCTAGCGTTGTTTCTATTTCCGATCATTGCAGGGAGGTGACTGCCCGCCCCCCCTTTGTGAGGCTCGTGGAAAGGGAAGAAGAGAAGTAAGAGGGGGTTTGTTTTTAAGGCTCAGGGAAAAAAAATGGTTGCCATTTCGTGAAAGCACTTTGCAGCAGCAGAAGGAAGCGAGCAGGGGCTTGTAATCGGAGATCCTGGCAGGGCTCCAGCTATGCCTGCTGTTCTGCTAGGCACTCCCAGGGGGGCTGGGGGGACCGGGAGGGGGAGGGGAGGGGAGGCCAGGGCTAGGCTGGCAGCTCTCTTAAAGAAACAGGACACTAGCTTGGGGAAGACAAAGCAGTATCGAGTAATGCAGTCAAAGCCCTCATGGCTATAAATAACACGATTGTTGCTATGAAGATCCTCCAGGTCACTTTTTTTTTAAACTTAAAAAAAAAACCAATTACCGTAGCCCAGCACAGGCATTTGAAAAGCGAGTGCAATACAAAAATAGCCAAATGGCCAGGAAATGGCATGAGGCACCCTTATCGCTCTAGAAGGTGGTGTTTTCTTTAAGGAGATCAGACGACGGGCTCGCTGTCTGGAGTTCAGATGAATGTAATGGGGTTTATGCTGCTAGAAACGTGTAAGGCTATGTAGAGACCGGGACAAGTCCTGTGATCTTTAGTTCAGCCTTTTAACCCGTCCCCTAGCTCTTAGCCCATTGTTTTTCAAAGTAGGTTTCACTGCATGTTGCTAATCTTCCTGTGTCCTCTTCGGCCCACAAACAGGGTGGGTCCAACATTGAGCTGGGAGGGAGGAGCAGCTGACAGCAGAGTGCATGGCCTGTGCCAGATCAGGTTGCTGGCTGCCCCTGCTTCTCTGCTGACTGCAGGGATGCTGTGCAGGGATCTGTCTGTTCACTGTAGATCCTGCGGCCATTGTCTTTCTTATGGTCTCTGCACCACTCTGTGTACGTGCAGGGGGGATCCTTGCCTTTCCAAAAGGAGTTTGAGAGGCCTCTCTCTCTCACTTCTCGCCTGTTGTCAAGCTCAACTTTTAGTAAATGGAGGGTCATGTTAGTCCATTGATCCGTTTATATCCACTTACAGAAAGGATCAAGGCGAGAGGCCAGCTCATATTCTGTATTTCTAGAAAAAAAAATCTAGGGCACGATTGCAACTAGTGTAGGAGGTTCGCTCACAAGGAGAATTAACAGATGTCCGTTTTCAGTGCAGTTAAATCCATTATGGGTGGTTTTGAAATGCAAAATGTGTCAGATTAAATAGATTTTCCTACATCTAGCTAAGTATGAGGGTATTCTGGTTGTTTCAGAGTTTATAATACTCATTTTGCTCTTTGGGGAGTTGTTCATTCCACTCCACTCCATATTAAAATTAGATCAGATAGTGCAACCTGCCTTAATCAACCATCCAAAGAGCCAGCAAAACCCAGTTGTAGAGGTGGCCTTCTCTTAAGGGTAGAAGAAAATCATACTGTGAACCTTTATGGGAGGAAAAAAGGTAAGTGGCTACTTAAGACACATGCTTGCCTCTTGGAGGTGGGATCCATAGTGCAGGGTTCACTGTATCAGTTTGTGTGTGAAGTTAGTCATTTTCTTGTTTTTTGTAAAAGATTTGGTATGTGATGAGAGGGTTACGGTAGGGTAGGGTTGTGCAAATAAGGCATTGCATTTTCATCTTTTTCACAATAAATATAAGGGTTTATTTTACTCTTAACAGTTGACTATATTTTCATCCATAATCCTTCCACAACCTGAATCAAACTGTTATATGCATGCAGGTTCATTGCTAGTTCTAGTATATGTGTGTGTGTGTGTCTATATGGGATACACAAACAGAAACTCCCACATGAAAATGCCTCTAAAACACAAGGCTTACTATTAAAATTAGAAAACTGGCTCCCCTGCCTTCCCTCTCCAAGCCACCTCTCCTCTCTAATTGGGATGCAGTGGTTCAAAAACATTACTTCTGTTTGTTTGTTTGTTTCTTCCCTTGGTTTTCTGGAATCTCTTTGGAGCCATTATGCACTTGAGCATTCTTGTCCCTTGTATAGTGAAACAGGAAACTATCTGGGCTAATTTCAGAAAGTGGAGTGCATATTTGTATTCTGTAAAATATCTCTTTGTTAGCAACATGTAAAACTCAGAGTGCCCTAACCCATGAAGTCATATTCATGTGCATGGCTCTTGCTCATGCCTGTAGTTCTGATCACTTTAAATAATAAATAGTAAAGATATTTGCATAAACTACTATATAGTTTTTCTTTACCATAAATCCTTGTTAAGATGTTCCTTGACTATTTTTTATTAGACTAGACGTCAAAACCATTTTAATTTACTGAAAGACAATTAAAACCAAACCGCATCCAAATCAAAACAGTGCTGCAGATTATTTTTTACTATAGTAAAACAGTTCTAGATCTTGCACTACATTGTGCAAGCTGAACATATAAGTGATGAATGAGGAAGTGGTCAGTTAAGTTTAAGCAACATCTCTCAACTTTCTGGTGCTTGTTTTTTATTTTTAAATGCATATTAAACCGTAAGTGTTCCGATACTTTAACAAATGTTAAAACTGAAATTATCACCTCCTTCTCCCCTCATCCCCCAAAAATGGTTTAATACTGAAGTTCTGTTCTTCAGTTAACTAGTTATACCCAACTGTGATTACGGTTTCCAAATAGTAGGTGATCTTGTGTATCAAGGCCCTACTTTTGTGTGTGCTTGCACAACTCTGTCCAAGCACACATCTGTGTAGTTACTTTTCCAGTGCTAATTCCTTTGTGTGCAACTAACCACTTTGCAGCGTGCAAAACCATCACCTGTGTCCTCAGGCGGTGGAATCTTACAATCTATGAATTGCCCTAGCAAGTATTAGTGCTAGAAAAGTACGTATATAGAGTTGCACGTACACCTCTACCTCAATATAATGCTGTCCTCGGGAGCCAAAAAATCTTACCGTGTTATAGGTGAAACCGCGTTATATTGAACTTGCTTTGATCCACTGGAGTGCGCAGCCCTCGCCCCCCCCCCCCGAGCACCGCTTTACCGCGTTATATCTGAATTCGTGTTCTATCGAGGTAGCGGTATATATGCAAGTGAAAGCCAGTATGATGGAGCACTGAAAACCCGGGCCCAAATGTGCTGCAGTAAGTACCATAAAGTGGGTTGAGGCAGAGATTCGTGGCCTATTTTTCAGAAGTGCTGAGCACCTGCAGCTCTTGATGAATAAGAGGCTACCTAGCAGCCCTGAAAATCACCTCATACATGTCTGAACTTGGCATTTCCTTGCTTTTGTAAGGTGGTTAAATAGTGAGTGTTTTTAAATGTAGTCTAAAAGTTGTTGAGGCAGTCTGAGAGCAGTTCTAACTGTAGAGTGGATGGCTCAGCCACCAAGCATCAGGTCTGAAATACTGGGCTATCACTGCATTTTAAATTCCAGAAAGATCAACCCAGACTTTCTTTGTATTAGACCGACTCAGTTTTAGTCCTGAGATTTCTGCTCTATGTGCTCCCTAATGATTCAATAATGCTCCTTCTCATAGGAACAGGATTTGTTCTTGCCCAACGTATCCCACTGCTTCATTATTGAGCAGCATGCTCTGTGCCAGTCGTCCAAGTGGCTGTCATCTCTGGGATGAGAGATACTATAGAAGCAGATATTTCTATGATAAGTTTTGTAGCTACCCTGGTAAACATTAATTTTGATTGTATTCAGTCTCACGACTCTTATACTGAGGGTCCTGTACCAGTTTTTTTACAATAGTAAATTAGAAACTAATACAGTAGTGCAGTGTCTGTGCCGGCATGTGTAGCTACTCTCATGCGGCTTTGGACACTAGATTAATAGAAGGACAGACGATATCATTGTGATCATCTAGTCTGACTTCCTGCATAACCCAGTCCATAGGACTTCCTGCAGGTAATGACTGCTTCAGGTCCAATAGTTGTGGTTGAACTAGAGTATATCTTTTAGAAAAATATCAAGTCTTGGTTTTAACCTTTCCAGGGTGGAGAATCCATCATACTCCTTGATAAATTGTTTCTGTGATTAATTACCCTCATTTAAAAAAAAATGCAATAGCCCTATGTTATCAAACTTCTGTTTGTAGGTACTTGTACGTCTAGACTGTAATCACATTACCCCTTAACCTTCTTTTGGTCACCTAAATGGATTGAGCTCCTTAAGTCTCTTACTATAAGGCATGTTTACCAATCTTTTAATCAGTCTCATGGCTTTTCTCTGAATCTTCTCCAATTTTTCAACCACCTTCTTGAAATATACACGCATAATTGCTCACAGTATTCCAGTAACAGTGTCAGCAGTGCCCAATACAGAGGTAATATGACTTCTCTACTCCTACTTAATATTCCCATGTTTATAAACCCATGGATCATATTAGCTCTTTTTGGCCACAGCATCGCACTGCAAGCTCATATTCAAATGATTATCCACAATGCCCCCAAGTTCTTTGAGTTACTGCGTCTCGGAGTCTCCCATCTTGGAGGCATGGCCTGGATTTTTTTGTTCCCAGATGTATGTCTTTACGTTTGGCCATAACAAAACACTTGGCTATATTAAAAATATTGTTTGCTTGAGCCCAGTTTACCAAGCAATCCAGATCACTCTGTATCAATGACCTGTCCTCTGCATTATTTACCCACTACCCCACTCTTTGTCATCTGCATACTTCGTCAGTAACCATTTTATATTTTCTTCCACGTCATTGATAAAAAAATATTTAATAACATAAGGCAAGGAACCAATCCCCGCAGGATCCCACTAGGAACATTGCCACCCATTGATGATTTCCTGTTAACAATTTACATTTTGAGACCTATCAGTTAGACAGTTTTGAATCCATGTTGATTTTATATCGTTCTAGTTTCTTAATCAAAATGTTGTATGGAGTCAAGTCAAATGCCTTACAGAAGTCTATCACATCAACACTGTTACCTTTATCAACCAAACTTGTAATCTTATCAGAAAATTATATAATTTACACTAGAACCTAAAATAGTAAGAATGGGAATGTTGACCAAGGAAGATGGTTTTCCTTTTGTGTGTGTGTGTGTGTGTGCGCGCGCGCGCGCCATACAATTTTTAACCTCTACCAGACTGGGCAGAAAAGATGTCTGTAATTTCTCAGCTA